GGAGCCGCGGGCCGGTTCCAGGGAGGCAGAGCTGTCATCCCTGGGGCGGTGCCTAGGAACAAGCGGAGGCCGAGTCCTGAGGACTGGGCTCGAGGCGGCGGGCACCAGGAGGCCGGTGTCGGGGTCAACAGGCGTCCGCGGGGCTCACGGACCCGGCGGGGCAGATGCAGTCGCCGCCCACGTCCCAGAAAGTCCCCTGACATGTGTTCCCTGAAAGCGAGACCCCAGGACCTGCGGCAGGAACAGTCTCACGTTACCAGCGTGGGGCTGTCCTGACACCCAGCGCTGAGCCTGCCGGCATGTTAGAGTTCGTTTGACATCAAGCAGTGACAACAGGAGAATTCCTGGGGCACCCCCAGTCACCTGGCCGCGGCGACCAGTGTCCGCAAAGTGGCCGGGCTCCCAGGCGTCCTCTTGGCCGATGCGTGATTATGACACTGGCTGAGCCGCCTTCCCACTGGCTGCCTTCCTTAGTCGGTGGGACCCATCCGCTCTCACTTCGCTCCTTTACTCCACATCTTCGATGCTTTAAGACATTGAAAGCACAGCGTCTGTGGCTCTAGACAACCTGTCTGCCCCGGCCCTAAGACACTGTCCTAATCCCACGTAGGCTCCATCACTTGCTCCCTGTGTAGACACTACGTGTGTGTTTTAAGCTGTTTCACCGTTTTAGAGACACGTTCGTGTTGGCTGGGGCTCCCGCTTGGTCACTGACTCATGTGGGATTCAAGGTGGGATGACCCGCAGCGAGTCATCGTTGTCTCATTGGTGACATTGTCGTGTTCAGTTTCCATCTTTTCACAATTATTATGCTTCGATTTAAAAAATGTAATTCGTCCAAAGATTCACTTCCTTGGTTTTGCAAAATATAGCTTTTTATCATTAAAAACTTTATGTTAAGTTGTGGGTTGGCTGTTATTTTTAGTTAGTTAAATCCGTCTTCCTTTTAAACTCCAACAAGGCAAATACCCATAGACAAAACTGTGTATACAGTTCTAGGGGTCCCGTGTAACTGTGAAGATTCAAAGGAGCCGGGCTCGGTGGCTCAGCCTGTAATCCCGCGTCTTTGGGAGGCTGAGGTGAGTGGATTGCCTGAGCCCGCGGGTTCGAGACCCGCCTGGGCAGCGAGACCTCGTCTCTACAATAAATAAAAAATCAGCCGGGCGTGGTAGTGCATGCCTGTAATTCCGGCTACTTGGAAGGCTGAGGTGGAAGGATTGCTGGAGCCCAGTAGGTCAAGGCTGCGGTGGCCGGAGCGGCCACTGCACTCCAGTCTGGGAGACAGAGTGAGACTCCAACCCAAAAACAAACAAAAAAAAGATTCAAAGGGCTCCAGAGACAGAGGGGCTACGTGTGGCTCACATGGCACACGGGGCTGCAGACAGGAATGTCACACAGGAGCCTGGCATGCAGAGCTGCAGATGCCAAGGTCACGCAAGAGCCTGGCGGTAGGGGCTGCAGACACCAAGGTCACGCAGGAGCCTGGTGCTTGGGCACCAACGGGCTGCTGCCCTTGTTGTTTTCCTAATGGGTCACCCATTGACGGAAACCGTGATGAGCTCAAGTGATGTCTGCAGACCGTCCCAAGCCCCCAGAGCCAGATGAGGCATGGGGACTCCCATCTGGCCCTCTAGAGGAGGTTGTTTCCATTAATCCTGTTCAGTGAAAAAAAAAGCCCCAAACTGCAAAGAAAACAAATTTGAGGTCCTCAGTGACAGCCAGGACAGGTAGGGCCCAGCTCCAGGGGGCCCCACAAGGCAGAGGACTCGCCCAGATGCCTCCCCAGGAAGTCACATGGAGAAGGCACAGGGTCAGATGTCAGCACCCGCATCCAACAGCAACATCCCTGCCACACAGGGGCAAGAGGAGGGGATAATAGGCTCTGGGGACCCGTAGCAGGCAGGGAGTAGGGTGGGTTGGAAAAACACCCCCTGAATTCTGTGACCACCACAGGGGCGACGGCCCACAGGAGCCTCAGTGTCAAATGACTCACATGGCAGGCCTGCAAGTGGGCCCAAGTGAAAAAAGATCTCTTAAAAAATAGAATAAAGCACACCTAGGTGGGTGGTTGGAAAGAAAGAACAGGACAGGCCCCAGCATGGGGTCTTCCCCATTGGCAACATGGAATGGCACAGTGTCGGGAAGACACTGGGGCAGGTGCGGGGTTTTAAACTTTCTTATTAATAGACTCAATTTTTAAGAGCAATTCTGGATCCGAAGCAGAACTGAGCAGAAGGTGCAGAAGTCCCCCTGCCCCATCCTCCCCCTTGGTCATTCCCACGGGCAGGGCATCTGCCACAACTGGTGACCCTACGTTGACTCATGATGCCACCCAGAGTCCTGGTTTACACTGGGGTTCACTCGGCCCACATGTGCTGCGTAACAGAATCCGTGGCCAAGGAACACATATCAGTTCCCACCTTTCTAGAGGTTGGCGTGGGCGTTGAGGACAGCTGCTGTCTGTGTTCAGGCTGATGCCTCATGGGCTGCGTCTACAGTGGGAGGTGGGAGGGCCGGGAGGCCTTGCCTTTAGGCCTGGACCCACTGGCGAGGAGGGGCCCTCATGGCCTGATGGCTCCTGACAGCCCCACCTTCCACCATCATATTGGCCACTATGTCTCAACATTGGGGCTTTGGAGGGGACACAGTCAAGTCCTAGCAGTGCTGGACAGTCCATGGGTCTGGACAAGGGCACAGTGACAGGTACCCACCGTGACCAGGCCATACAGAACAGCATCACTGCCCTAGCGCCCTCCAGGCTCTGCCTGTCCCCTCTCTTGACCACCGCATGACACGGAGCTAGACTCACCCAGCACGTGCCTTCTCAAGGCAGTGTCCATCATCAGCAATCCTGTCTGCTCCTGGCTCATTCCTTTCAAGGACTGAAAGACACTCCACTGTCTGAATGGACCGCCCGTGTCCCCAGTCACCTACAGAAGCTTACCTTGGTTGTGCCCAAGTCTTGGCGATTATGAATCAAGCTACTATAAACATCCGAGCACAGGTTTTTGTGAGGACGTTTTCTGTTTTTTTCTTTCTTTCTTTCTTTTCTTTAGAGACAGGGTCTGTTGCCCAGGCTGGAGTGCAGTGGTACAATCATACCTCACTGCAGCCTTGACTTCCTGGCCTCAGGCAATCCTATTACCTCAGCCTCCTGAGTACCTGGAACTACAAAGAGGGACCCCCCAAAAAACCCAGAATTTATTTATAAAAATTGTGTATTTATTTTTTCATGTTTAAATTTCAGTCACCTTCAAAGTCCTCTCCGTTTGATGCAATACAGCTATTGAGATGCTTTTTCCACTGCTCAAAACAGTTTTTAAACTCATCAGTGTTGATGCCTTTGAGTGCTTCTGCTGTTTTTTTTTGTTTGTTTGTTTCACCTCTTCCACATCAGGAAGATGTTTGCCTTTGAGGACTTTTTCCATCCAGAGGGGGAAAAAAGTGGCTTAGGGTAAACAGGGAGGGTGGGGCACAGGGATCATGTGGTTTTTTTTAATCCAAAACTGCTGAACATTCAGTGTGGTGTGGGCAGGTGCGCTCATAAATCACCCATCATGAAATGTGTTGAATCTCCAAAAAAAAAAATTCACCAAAGCAGAATGTAGCTTCTTGCAACAAAGCTATCTGGTTCACAGATTCCAATGGGTTCCTAGAACATTCACCTAGGGGAAAAGCCTGTACTCCAATGGGCCCACCCTCCAACAGATAATTTTAGGGTTATTTGGGTTTCCCTTTGTACAGTTGCATGCCATCACACCCGGATAACTGTTTTAACTTGGACTTAAGTTTTCAACTCAGTGGGGTAAATATCTAAGCACAAGGCTGCTGGATCACACGGGGATGCTTAGCTTCATGTTGCTCCCACCAGCTGCGATGTGCATTCCTGTTGCCCCACATCCGCACCAGCACCCGGTGATGTCAGTGCCTGGATGTTAGTCTCTAACAGGTGTGTGGCAGCACTTCCTCGTTTCTGTCTTTCAGGGTCTTGCTCTGTCACCCCCGCTGGAGTGCAGTGGTGCGATCATAGCTCACTGCAGCCTCTGACTCCTGGGCTCAAGCAATCCTCCCAAGTAGCTGGGAGGGATCAGAGGTGCATGCCTCCACGCCTGGCTAATTTTTTGATATTTTGTAGAGACAAGGTCTCGCTGTGTTCCCCAGGCTGGTCTCAAACTCCTGGGCTCAAAAATCCTCCTGCCTAAACCTTCCAAAGTGCTGGGATTAGAGGTGTGGACCCCTGCACCCGGCCTCCCTGTTTTAATGTGCCTTCCCTGGGGACGGGTGAAGGGCATCTTTTCTTTTCATTTTTTTTTAGATTAGAAAATATAGTTTATTTAGAAAGTAAATTAGAGAGAGAGAGAGAGAGAGAGAGAGAGGGAGAGATGGGGGGGGGGAGGGGGGATTCCAAAGCTTAAGAAAACATGGTCTGACCATAGCTCAAAGAGCACATGGACATACCATAGTTTAGCAAGGCAATGGCAAAATCAAGGGGCATCTTTTCACAAACGTTCCTGCCCTGCATGTCTCCTTGGCGAGCTGGCAGTTTTGTTCGGCTTTTTACACAGTTAAACATGCAGTTGGGCATGACCCAGCCACTCCACTGCCAGGTATTTACCAAGAGAAATGAGCCAGATATCCACACACAAGCCTGTATACCACCACCATGACTTTTCATAATTGCCCCAAATTTGAAACAACTCAAATATCCATCAATGACAAGTGGACAAACCGTCGGACACTCAGCAGGAGAAAGGCAAAGCCCAGACCCACATAGCACCACAGCAGACCCCACGGTGCTGCTCTGCAGGAAAGAAGCCTGAGGGACAAAACTACAGACACAGGCAGAGTGGGCGGCAGGGGAGGCTGTGTCACGAACCCCATAGATGTCCCAGGGTGTCCACCATTCTGTGAGGGCCACAGGGCAGCAACCACATGGCATAGGAAGGTGGGCCACTCTGCCCAGAGGGGTCTGACCCCACCCTGGTGACTCATGGGGATTCCTGGAGGGGCCATTCTCGTGGGCAAGAGTGAAAACCACAGAGGGAGCCTCCAGGTGCATTCATGTCTTGAGGGCCACCTGGCCCTTCCTAAGCCACGGTGCCTACTGGGACGGGTCTACTTTCCCACAGAGTTTCCAGGGCCACATGAGGAAGAAACCAGGTGGTGGGAGCCCCTATGTGTCCAGGGCACAAGGCTGCTTCCCACAGCCTCCACGACCATGAGCCACAGCATGCAGAGCTCCTGCCATGCGGCCCCAGACCTTCACCTGTTGTGTGCCCACGGGGGGCTACAGTATCCTTGGGCTCCTCTCCACGTGCCACTCTGGAAGGTGACCTATGTGCTGGGCCAATCCTACAGAATGCAGCCAGATATTGGACTCGGCCTTGATCAAAAAGGCCAGGAGGTGGAGACGGTGAGGACCTGCTCTATAAGACACACGTCAACTGCCACTACTCCACACACCTTCATCCAGAACTGGAGGTATACATTTGTCCCCACATGTGCATGTCCCAAGAGCCTGCCAACACACAGGTGCTGACCACTGCTACAAGCGGTAGAAACAGCCCCTCACCAACATGCCATCTTGCAACATGTCATGCCACAGGGTGGGAGGAACAGTGCTGAGGACCAGCCGAGCACAGCACAGTGATGGGTAGGCCGGCAGGGACAGGACAGCAAGAGAGAGTGTGTGGCTGCTGTGCTGAGCACCATATGGGCAGCAGGCACTCCAAGAGGAAGGGTAGTTTGCTGGGGACAGCACCGGCCGCCCAGCTGCCTTCACACCAGGAGGCCACACAAGGCTTCGTGTCACAGAAACTTCCACCAGGTGCGCAGACAACAAGAAGGAACCCAAGGACCCTGCCCCTTCTGGCCTCACAGCCACTCTGCCTAGCCCATGATAATGGGGGTCCCCGTGTCTGCACTCACTATGGACATGGTAAATTGGATGCTGCCAAGCAGGCAGGACCCCAGGACGTCCCACGGGGGCAGGAGCTCAATGTCTACCCTGCTGCTCCAGGAGATGAACTGCAACGCCCCCAGGAGTTATGGCCCTAACCCTTCACCAGTACATGTCATGAGCTTGGGTCAGCATGAAAGGGGGGACAGCAGCTGAGAACACCAGCGAGGCAATAGCCTGATGCCTGGGTTCCATTTCCTCGTGGGAGTAGGAAAACAGCTGTGTGAGGACGCCTCATCTAAGTGGGTATGAAACACGGAGTGAGGCTGGGCTCGGTGGCTCAGCCTGTAATCCCAGCACTTTGGGAGGTCGAGGTGAGTGGATTGCTTGAGCCCAGGGCAACTTGGTGAGAACTCGTCTCTACAATAAATCAAAAATTAGCCAGGCACAGTAGCACATGCCTGTAGTTCCAGCTATTTGGAAGGCTGAGACGGAAAGATCGCTGGAGCTCAGCAGGTCGAGGCTGCGGTGGCCGGGAGCATGCCACTGCACTCGTCTGGGCGACAGAGTGAGACTCCAACTCAAAAAAAAAAAAAGAAACACAGAGTGAGAGGATGACTCGTCTATGTGGGTATGAAAACACAGGGTTTGAGGATGCCTCATCTATGTGGTTATGAAAACATGGGGTGAGAGGACACCTCGACTATGTGGGTACGAAAACACAGGGTGTGAGGACGCCTTATCTATGTGATTATGAAAACATGAGGTGAGAGGACACCTCATCTATGTGGGTATGAAAACACAGGGTGTGAGGACGCCTCATCTATGCAGTTATGAAAACATGGGGTGTGAGAATGCCTCGTCTATGTGGGTATGAAAACATGGGGTGTGAGGATGACTTGTCTACATGGATATGAAAACACAGGGTGTGAGGACGCCTTATCTATGTAGTTATGAAAACATGAGGTGAGAGGACACCTCGTCTACGTGGGTATAAAAACACGGGGTGTGAGGACACCTCGTCTATGTGGGTATGAAAACACAGGGTGCGAGGATGCCTCATCTACACGGGTATGAAAACACTGGGTGTGAGGACGCCTTGTCTATGTGGGTATGAAAACACGTGGTGAGAGGATGCGTCTATGCGGGTATAAAAACAGAGGGTGAGGATGCCTTGTCCTAGTGGGTATGAAAACATGGGGTGTAGCCAGTCTCGGTGGCTCAGCTTGTAATCCCAGCACTTTGGGAAGCCGAGGTGAGTGGATTGCCTGAGTACGCAAGTTCGAGACCACCCTGGGCAACTTAGTGAGACCTCATCTCTACGATAAATTTTTTAAAAAATTAGCTGGCATGGTAGCATGGGCCTGTAGTTCTGCCTACTTGGAAGGCTGAGGTGGAAGGATCGCTGGAGCCCAGCAGGTCAACACTGCAGTGGCTGTGAGTATGCCACTGCACTCCAGCCTGGGTGACAGAGTGAGACTGCAACTCAAAACAAACAAAAAACACAGGGTGAGAAGAGACCTCATCTACGTGTGTATAAAAACATGGGGTGTGAGGATGCCTTGTCTATGTGTGCATGAAAACACAGGGTGTGAGGGCACCTCATCTATGTGGGTATAAAAACACAGGGTGTGAGGATGCCTCATCTACTTGGGTATGAAAACTCGGGGTATGAGGATGACTCATCTATGTGGGTATGAAAACACAGGGTGAGAGGACAATTTGTCCACATGGGTATGAAAACACAGGGTATGAAGACGCTTTGTCTATGTGGGTATGAAACCATGGGGTGTGAGGACGCCTCGTGTACGTGGGTATGAAAACTTGGGGTGTGAGGACAGTTCATCTACATGGGTATGAAAACAAGGAGGGTGAGGATGAATCTATGTGGGTATGAAAACATGGGGTATGAGGACACCTTGTCTATGTGGGTATGAATACCTGGGGTGTGAGGATGTATCCGTGTAAGTATGAAAACCTGGGGTGTGAAGATGCCTCGTCTTTGCACACCTGCTCACTGGGTGGCCGAGGCCATGTCACCTCTGTGCCTGACACATCCGGTGCCTTTGAGCCTGGCCATCAAGGCAGCCCCCTGGTGTGATGCTGTGATACCTACCAGGGACCAGGGCAGCTTCTCCTGCAGCTCCTGACCCGCTGACTGGAGATTGTGCAGCTGCAGGCAGGGCCTGACCTTGGTGGGGCCTGACCCTGACATGGCCCCAGGGACAACAGGGCTCTGGTGGCACAGATCCACCATGGTCCCGTGGGCCATGCTTGGCACCAGCATGCACCGACCTCCCACTCATCCCACACAGCCCCCCTGTCCCCACTGACCCCTCACATGCAGCAGACGACAAAAGTGGAAATGAATCCTAACTTGAGTTAGGAGCAGAATTGAAACATGAAGTCGTTCCTCCAGGAAAAGCTCACCAGACCTTTCACTCCACAGGGACACCCGGGGTTCCAGGGCTCCCAGGAGAAGCAGAGAGACCCTGTCATGGCCACTCACCAACTTGTGTCCTGAGGAGGCTAACACTTGCACACATGGCTGGGTGCAATCATTTTTAAGAGGCACCTTCTACCAAAAACCTGAATTAGAGACATCTGACACTTAGCAGCATCAAGGTAAGGACATTCGGGTGACAGTGTGTTAGCATTTGCAGAAACAGCGGTAATAATGATAACAAAAAACCTTAAAACCACGGCTCTGTATTTGCTATCAGCCTTCCAGCCCTGTCTTCTTCACTTTTCTTTCTTTAACAGACACAGGGTCTGGCTATGCAATTACAGCTCGCCATATCTCCGACCTCTTGGGCTCAGATGATCCTTCTCTCTCAGCTTCCCGAGTAGCTGGGACTACAGGTGTGCATCACCATACCCGGCTAACTTTTTAATTTTTTGTGGAGACATGGTCTTGCTATGTTGCCCAGGCGAGTCTGGAACTCTCGGGCTCACGGGATCCTCCCACTTCGGCCTACCGAAGTACAGAGCTTAGGGGTATGGTCCAGGCCCAGTCTTCTTCTACTTTGGGTTAGGTGCACGTGAAGGGAGCCAGCTGGGGCGGGGTTGTCTGTCTGTGCAGCTAGTGAGCCCTGAGACATCAAAAGCCGGGCCTCAGGCAAGGACTTCGAAATACAGACCCACAAGCTATTTCAATCAGTGAGAAACAGAATGATGGCAAGGTGTTGTTTAGCTGTGTCCTCAGGGCTCACCCCATGATGAAGCAGCGTTCAGTCTTCTGAAAGACGGCCTATGCACAGCCATGGTCAGGGAGGCATGTGACCAGAGGCCCAGGTTCCATGTTCCAACAATCAGACAGTTCAACGCTCCTCTCTGGCCAGTTCAGAGTCCCAAGTCCCCGGATACACCCAGCATCACCAAGTGGCCCTAACCAGCCTCTTCTGAGCACTGTTTTCAGAAAGGCTGTAATGCCAGGTGTGCTCCTGAAGCCTCAACACGCCATGATGACACCTCCCGTCAGAGCTGCCTGTCCTCCACACACTGTGTGTGCATGCATGTGCATGTGCACATCTGTGCACACACAGAAGATGGACTGATACAAAGAGTTCTACTGTGATCGCTCGTGTTGATTTCTACACAGAGAAGATTAGCCACTGGCTAAAGATGAATGCTGATATGGACAAACACCCGTTTTTGGTTAAATAACTTTAATTCCACCACTGGGAGTAGATTCTGCCTCTGACCCTCCCACAGCACACAACCAGGTGTGATGGGCTGACACAGTAAACATGCATGCCGGAAAAACAAAACACAAGAGTGTGATGGGAGCAGGCCGCGTGTTAGGAAGCGGCCCCCTTGAGACGTGGGCATGGTGCAAGTGACAGGGAGGCCTTGGGGACAAGGGCACACAGGCCAGAGGGGGCCTCCTTGTCCAACTTACTGCTTGTGCTCACCCTGGGCTGTCATGTGATACTTCATTTTGGACCATATACAACTGGCGATTAATGCATATCTTGCTCTTTAGCAAAATAATACTCACGTAGTTTTAACTTAAATATTTTAAAAGTCACCTTTACATTATTGAAGATTGGTAAAAAATACAGAATCTGACAGCTTTTCATCCACTGCACCTGACGTGCCAAGAGCCTTCCCTCCATACCGCCGTGGGCTGGAAAGCGGCCCTGGCCTCAGAGTCCCAGGGCTATTTCTGAGACCACCTCTTCCCTGCTGGCCCAAAGTGAAGATACTCAGAACCCTCGGTCGCTGCATCAGAGGAGACATAGACCCTTCCCACTAATTCTTTACTTACAAATTCTACCATGAAGAGGGTGCTGCAAGCAGAAAAGTCCAGCAGTTTCTGTCACATAAGGGGTGTCGGGAGGGGCCTCGGGAGGCGCCCCCAGGTGGGTGTGCGTGAGGCCACGCAGCAGAGGGAGATGCTTGGCACCAGCAGTCCACAAGGAAGTTGGGCAACCACAGGGCCACAGGACCACCACGGACAGGCATCAGAATGCAGCTTCTGCTGTACCAGTGCTCAGACAGCCATGCAAGGAGTCCAGCCTCGCGGCCTCTGCACCCTGGGCCCCTTATCTTTAGTAGATGTCTGGGCAGCCAGAGAAATCCCGCTCAAAGTAATCCCCTGCATACAACCAGTCGGGAGTCCCCGTGTAGGGGTTGTTGCCTGGGTAAAACCACCTGCAAGACAAAGAGCACTAAGCAGGTGTTTGGCTGAGAAGACGTGGCCCTGTTCCTCCCAGTGGGGGCCTGCGCCCCTGTGAAGCCCTTCCACAGCAATACGTCCTGAATGTACAGCCCAGGTGATGACACCAGCCAGGACCACTGACCACATTCCCACAGGAACTCTCCAACCACAGACAGCAGCCAGTTGCATGGCTGCCACCCTAGGTCAGGCGTGACCCCAAAACAGCACTGGATCCTAAATAACGCCCATGCCTTTAAAGTAGAAGCAGCTGCCATGCTCATACCTGTCTTCATTTAAAGTTGACCAAGGCTGGCTGCAGTGGCTCACGCCTATAATACCAGCACTTTGGGAGGCCAAGGTGGAAGGATCGCTTAAGCCCAGGAGTTTGAGACCAGCCTGGGCAACATAGCAAGACCTCATCTCTATAAGAAATAAAAAAATTAGCCAGGCATGGTGGCGTGCACCTGTAGGTCGAGCTACTCAGGAAGGCAGAAGACTTGCCTGAGCCCAGGAGGCTGAGTCTGCAATGAGCTGTGATCGTACCACTGCACTCCAGCCTGGGTGACAAGGTAAGACTCAAGACAAAACAACAATAACAACAAAAACAATGCAGACCAAGAGCATTTTTTTAAAAACTGAAGATGAGGGAAGGCACTATGGGCAAGAGAATTAGCGCAGCCCCAAGCGCCAGCAGCTTCAGCACTGCCCTGGGCAGGCCGAGGTCAGCTGCTGCCTGTGGCCTACTGGCACTAGGGCCTGTGGGGCATACCCGGGGGGCTCAGAAAGTTGAAAAGTTATCTCCACAAGACAAAAGATTATTTTATATGTATACACATACACACATTTTCCAAAGAAATGGGATCTCACTATGTTGCCTAGGCTAGTCTTCAACTCCTGGGCTCAAGCAACCCCCCTGCCTAGGCCTGGGGGTGCTGGCATGAGCCACTGTGCCCTCCTCTCCACCCTGGGATGGGAGACCCTCTTCTTCATCCCCGGGTGTGAGGGACCCTCCTCTCCACCCTGGGATATATGGACCCTCCTCTCTGTCTCCAGGTGTGGGGGACTCTCCTCTCCATCCCTGGTTGTGGGACCCACCTCTCTCTCCCCAGGTGTGGTCCTCCTCCCTGCCCCCAGGTTGGGGCACTCTTGGCCCAGCAGGGTTCTGGCCCTCACCTGGTCTGCCACTCAGCTGCCTCCTTGGCACGCTCCCTGCGGGCCTCCCTCTGCTTCTCCTCCAGCCGCTCCTTCTCCTGGCTGGCCAGATCTAGGGTCCAAGCAGACATGCCTCTGTTAACTGACAGCCAAAACTCCAGGCCAAGATTCCAGATAGGGCAGAGGCCCCAGGAACCCCATACCACAAACTCCAGATGGCAGGTCCCACTTGGGCTGGAGAGCCATGGAGATCTGGGATTAGGAGACCATGCTCCAGCATGAGGCCCCGCTGCCCCTACAACCACGGGAGCTAATAAAAAATGAGGGGTCTGTAGCTCTCATGTATCCTTTGTCATCACCTTTTCTAGTAAGTTAACGGATTTGAGAGGAGTGGTCTGTGGCGGAGGAAGATCCCTGGAGGCTTCCACAGAGCTGGGGGCTATGCTGGGTCTGCAGCTGTCGCATAGGGAAAGGGGCCAGCCCCCTTAAGGGGAGCCCACCTGCCTGTGCACCTGTGCTCCCCAACTCTGTCCCAC